AGAGAGAGAGAGAGAGAGAGAGAGAGAGAGAGAGAGAGAGAGAGAGAAAGAGAGAGAGAGATGTTAAAATCTAAAATAAAATTAAAATAAATTTCACAGACTATATCTGTAGTAATAGCCACAGTAGTTTGCCATAGAAACTGGGCATTACTGGTGCAGGCCTTTAATCCCAGCCCTAAGAGGAATATAAAATGGGAGCAGATAGCTCTCAGACATAGTCTCATTCTGAGATTCCTGGAGACAGGATCACCGTTTCATATTGAGGTTGAGGTAAGAGCCAGAGGCTGGCTGTTTTGTTTTTCTGACCTTCAGATTGAACCCCAATATGTGTCTCTGGGTTTCTATTAATCATGCAACACATATTTCTAGACTTTCAGTATTCTTGTGTAGAAGCCAAGCAACTTGCAGTATCTTACTCACATCAGCCTGCTTTGTTAGCACAGGTGCTGGGTCTCATGCATCTCGTACATGTGACAACTTTGTTTCACAGAGTTGCAGTCCATCATGTGGACACAGTGCCATGTATTAATTTTCCCAATGAGAACTGTGAGAAGGTTCCCAAGGAGGGTCAAATTCACTGTAAATAGATGCACACATTTATGCATGAATCCAAGCCTTTATTTCCTAGAAAAAAATGTGCTGAGTTGCTAAACCATGTGGTAAATGTGGAGTTGGAATTTTCTTTGGGTCACCAACCAGCTCCCAAATAAAGACATGGAGACTTACTGATTATGAATGCTCAGCCTAGCTTAGGTTTGTCCCATGTTTAACTTAACATGCTTCTCTTCACCTACGTTCTGCCTCAGGGCTTTTGACTTTTGTTTCATTCTGTAAGTCCTGCTTCATTGATTTCTCCATGTCTGGCTGGGCCCTGGTATCTCCTTTTCTTTCTTCCTGTAGCCTAAATTCCTCCTCCTACTTAATCTCCCTGCCCAGAAGTTCCGCATATACCTCCTCCCCCACCATTGGCCATCAGCTTTTTATTAGACCAATCAGGTGTGTAACATGAGGGCCTGCTGGTTGGGGTTTTTTGTCCTACCCAGTTCCCACAACCAGCAAGTCCCAAAGAAAATCACACAGAGAGTCTGCATTACTTATAAACTGATTGGCCCATTAGCTCAGACTTCTTATTAGCTCTTATAGCTCATATTAGCCCATTGTTCTTATATATGTTAGCCACATGGCTCAGTACCTTTCTCAGCGGGGCAGCTCACATCCTGTTTCTTCGGTAATCTGGGTTGAAATGGGGGGAATAGGCTTCCTTCTTCCCAGAATACTGCTATTATCCTTGCCCCACCTCTACTTACTGTCTGGTTGACATGCCTATACTTCCTGCCTGGCCAATCAGTGTTTATTTAAAATATGATTGACAGAATACAGACAATTCTCTCACACCACTTTCCCTCTTTTTTTTTTTAAACAAAGGAAAATATCCATAGTCCATTTGTTGGGAATGTGGGCATAGTATTCCAGTATTCCAGGCTACTTCTGGCTGGTTGGGGGCACTGATAATCTTATGGGGACCTAAAGAAAATTTAGAATTATCATCAAGTCCTGACTGGAGTATCCTGTGAGTCTTGATCATCTCAGGCAGCAGTCTTGAATCTGTTCTGGATGTAGAACTTAGATATCCAGGCCATCTGTTCCTACCGGAGATTTTTCAGGTGATCTTCCTTGATCAAACCTGATTTTTCTTAGCTCAGAATGAATCCACAGCCTCTCATTTCCTGTGGAAATAAAAGCAAATCCTCTCTTCTCCAAAGTAACATACTTTTGACTTCAAATTTGAAGCCAAGGTATTTTCAAAATACCTATCTTGGATTAATTCAGCAGCATTTATAAGCAAATATCTTCTAGCAGCTGTTGCTCCTTCCTCAGCATTCAAACAATTCAAAGAGAGCATAATAACATACAGTATCAAGATTCTTTGTGTATTTTCCATCTTTATGTAGTTTTACTTTAACCTATATTTCTTTTATTTTTACTTTTATGTTTTGGGTTTTTGAGACAGGTTCTGTGTATCTTTGTCCTGGAACTCCCTCTGTAGACCAGGCTATCCTTGAACTAACAGAGATCCACCTGTCTCTGCCTCCCCAGTGCTGGGATTAAAGGTGTCTGCCACCACACCTTGAATTTACAGAGGTCTGTCTGCCTCTGTCTCCCAAGCTTTGTGATTAAAGGCCTGTGCTACCACACCTTGACTCACAGAGGTCTGTCTGCCTCTGCCTCCCAGACATTGGGGTTAAAGGTGTGGACCACCACACCCAACTATTTTCTTTCTTTCTTTCTTTCTTTCTTTCTTTCTTTCTTTCTTTCTTCCTTCCTTCCTTCCTTCCTTCCTTCCTTCCTTTTTTCCTTCCTTTCTTTCATTTTTTTAAGGACTTTAACCTTTAGCCTGCATATATTTTTAACACATAGTAAACCATTTAGAGGTTTTCTTTGTCTTTGAATCTATCTTTACTGTATATCTCTCTCTTTTTCTGACACATGAACCTTTAATTTACTAAGCAGTATAGAGAGGATTAAAGCCGCGGCTTTGATGGCTAGATCCAGCCCATTCCTTAGCTTTCTGTGATTCCAGCCTCATGGCAGAAGTACCAGCTCTGTACCACGTTTATGGCCACAACTCTATGGTCCCTGCCAGCAAGCAAGCTGCAGCATTCTGCTCACAGACCACACTCAGTCAGACCACCTGCCTGAAAGAGTCAGAGTTTGCCCTGGCAGGATGACCCAGAAAGCTGGCATTTTACAATGGCACAGCTTTTTCCTGCTACGGCTGAAAACCAAAAAACATGCTTTTTATCAACACAATTTAAGTGTTTCGTGGCAGGACCTCTTAAAAGAGCTGCAGGGTTTTGCAGCTAAAGCTGAGTCAGGAAGCCTCTCTTAGATGAGAACGCTTGCTTGCCTCTAGCAAGCAGAGCAGACCTGAGAAATTGCTGCTACCAAGAAACCATGCACATGGGTTTGGTTTAACTGGGAGCCTTGTTTAATTGGGAACTGCTCCGGGCAGTTGGTACTCACACTGTGGCACGTGTTTTACTCAGCTTGCTGTTTCTACTTAGTGTCCTGGCTGCTCGAGAGCTCTGCAGCACAGCAACGCCTCTTAAAGCAGCCGTATCTGTTTTTTTGTTTTGTTTTGTTTTTATTTGTTCAGTTTTCTCAGGCCCTATGTGAAATTTGGGCCCCACGTTGGGCACAATAAGTGTGTGTTTAATTTTATAAGAATCCGTTCAACTGTTCTAGATGAGGTGGTATAGTTTTTCCTCCCCCAGGGAAACACACTAGAGTGCTCATGCCCCTGGTCACACCTGTGCTTTCAAGGTTGTTCCTGTGTCATTCTTTTCTGAGTCAGTTTGCTCTGCACTAGCCTTGCTTTACATGGGTGTTAGGGCATTGTGGATGGTCATCACTGCAAGTTTATCACATTGATCTGTTAAGAAAAAAAAAACAGTTTTACCTTTCTTCATCCCTATTGTGCTCTGATCCTGCTTTTCTTGACTTTTGTCACTTTTTATTCCTTCCTTCTACTTACTGTACTTCTTCTCTTCTTTTTCTTCTTACCATGCTGAACAAAAAAAGCCACAGGCCATGTCTTTTGATGTTTGCAGATAGACAATTTCTACCGAGAAGATGTGTATGATCTCTTTCCTGGGACATTTCAAACCATTGAGCTGTTTGCTGATCACCCAGGGACATGGCTGCTGCATTGTCATGTATCTGACCACATTCATGCCGGCATGGAGACCACCTACACTGTCCTCAGGAACATAGGTACTGTCTGTCAGTGATGCCAGTCCATGGCACCAATCCTCCCATAGACCTGGAAACAGGAGGCATGAGGAAAAACACAGGTACAGACCCCAAGGGGCTCAGAGTGGAGTAAGAGAGACAAATAAGTGAATGTGTAACCACATGGAGAAAGATATGCAGAAACAGAGTGCAGAGGGCAGGGATCAGAGGCAGCAGGAGGAGGCAGAGGAGGAGGGCATGTTTGATAGTCTGGGACAGGAGCCAAGGCATAAGATGCTATAATCTAAAGAGGGATCTCAGTGGATGAGCAGACACTCAGAAAGTGGAGAGGGTGGTACTTGATACTGGCGTTAAACAGAAAGACGACAGAAATGGGATGGGAGTAAAGTTCTTACTGGTCAAAAGACATGACTTTCATGTACCATGAAAAGGATCTCTATTTATAAACATTTATGCACACATATATGTATGTATGTATGTATGCATGTATGTATTTTGTCCAGACAACAGGACTCCATATTCTACCAAGTCCCCTTCTGGAGCAGGATCTCATGTAGTCACTGTGCCCTCCAAAGGTAAGGACACCTTCTCCAAACCCTATACGAGTATCCCAGTGTTTGACTCCTTGGGGGAGGCCAGTACCTGATGCCTCACTTGCTTCTCTCACAGAACAACCCGGCAAGGAAGACCTCTATTTCTTTGGCAAGAATCTGCGCCCTAGAGGAGCCAAGGCAGCCCTGGTCATCCTCTTCATCCTGGGGCTCCTGCTTCTGGTCGCCACTGTGATTCTCTCCCTCAGACTTCGCTCTGCACAAAGGCAGACAGCTTACAGGGAAGTCCAGTCCTGTGCACTCCCCACAGATGCTCTGTGAATGCTCCGGCCTTCTCGGCAGAGAGCGGTCAGGCTCTGTGACTGGCCGCAGAGTGGCCAACAGGGACACTGGACCAATGCATTGTTCACCAAGGAACTTCGACCCTGTATCCTAGATCAGGCCTCTGAGCCTCTGGAATGCCATCTAAAGCAATGTGCTTTTATTTATTTATTTATTTTAACGGCTGTGAATGATTCTCAGGTAGAAAATACACAAAAAAGGAGAACGCACTGGCTTGAGAAGGGCCAGCCACCAGTCTGTTTTGTGCACAACTCACTCGGGGGGGGGGTGCCCTCTGAGAGATACTTTCATGGCTTTAAATTGAATGGTGCTTCCTCAGCTAGTCACCAAGGTTTCTAGATGGGAAGTTCTTAGGGGGTATGAGAGAGCTTCAGACATCTGTCTGTCTAGAATCACACTAACGTGCGAAATCATCCCCTCAGCCATTCCAGGGCGAACAACTTTCTGAGGAGTTGGTGGGAATGTCCAAGTCAGTATGAGCTGATGGGAATGGACCACATGAGTCTCTCTGAGGCTTCCAGTAGCTCTCCAGGCCTTTCCCCCTCTGATGCAGAGAGCCTGTGCATTGTCTGTGATACAAGCCAAAGTTATATGGTTATTTATTTCATTGCTGCTGTTTTTAATCCAACCTGTAGGAATACTTGAACGTTTACAATTCACTTCATGCTACATTTTTATCACGTGTCTCCGTGGCTTCGTCTATTTTCAAAACTCAACTAATGGGTTCTTATTTCAGGATGAGGGAGGGCTAGAACCAGTGAAGGAGCAGGCGTGGCTTCTTCAGTGTAAGCCAGAGACTCCCTGTCAGGGCTTGAACCCTCAGTCTGACTTTTCATTCATTTGGGGGGCATTTTTCCACATCTCCATCTTCTGTGAAAGTTACAGTTTCATCATGTGAGGGACGGCAGGAGGCATACATCAATCAATGCGACTGACTGGCTGGAAAAATCTCTTAAAATCCTGTATTCCATGCTTGTTAAAGACATAGCCTTGAGAGGATGGAGGCAGCTAGAAAAGGTAGTCCCGGTGGCTACTAAACCATTAGATCCGTTTTTGAAATAAGTATTATAGCTGCCAAGACTCACGCAATCAGGAAACAATGAACAAAGCTAAGGAGGAAAGGACAGGGTGCATCCTCTCCTAGGGACCCTAGAGGTTCGATGTAAGATTGGTGAAAGCAACATTGTTTATTACTAGGCTGGGAATCTACCTTGGCTCAGGACAAGCTGCCCTGGGATGCTGTGGCCAGACACATGATGTGAGACCTGCCTTAGCAGTGGGTCACTTGAGTGTCCAGGTGAACGAGTAGGATCTAATAAATACTCTGGTGAAGGGATCTCTCGTGCTTTATTTTAATCTTCTTGGTGAGGGGAAACTGACAGAAACCGCAGTCTTACATAAGCCGGATGCTACTGCTAATTCTGTTTGTAGTCTGCCTGAACACCTTGTCAAACAGGGCATCCATGCGACTTTGAATTCTGACCCGCTAACCACTGACAGTGTGATTTTGTGGCTTCTTGGAGTTCATGATTGGTAGGCTGAATGATTACATGAGAAGTATGGTGAGCACCTACGGCTTTCCTTTAGTAAGTCAAAAACTTGTTTAGTTGTGAAAATCCTTTTTTCCTTTTTCACTTATTTTTTTTAAATGAAAACAAACCACAAAGTAGTTTTGTTGCACTATTTCTCTTTTTAATAAAGTTTCATATATTCTAAAATGGCAAATTTGCATTGGTTTTTTTTCTACTCAGAATTAGCTGTCACTTAAAAGGTGGTTAGAACAGAAAGAATTATAGGAGCTGGAGAGGCGGCTCAGCAGTTAAGAACATGGGCGGTTCTTCCAGAGGAAGAGCCCAACACCCACCTCGCAACTGTCTGTAACTCCGAGATCTGACGCGCTCGCACAGACATACATGCAGGCAAAACACCAATGCACATAAAATAAAAAATAAATTAGAAAAGAAGAACAGAACTATATTACATATTTATTCTCTATAACTATGTCAGTTGTACCTATTAAAGTGAACAAAATCATATATTACCCAATATGACTCCTCCCATGTGGTCATTTCTGACTCTCAAACTTGCTCTCCTGAGATAATCATCATTTCTCTCACCATGGAGGAGGTGTCCTTGCTCCTGGCAGAGCCAGGGCCTCTCCACTCAGTCTTGACTTCCCCTCCTTTTGCTTTCTCGAAGGCTTTTATTCCCCTATTATCAGTTTTTTTCTATCTACATCCTGCTATGAGCTAAGTTGCCAGCCATGTCCACCATTAAAAATGGAGATTAAGGTGCAATCTTCCTTAACACATCAGTCAGTGTCTCTCTTTAGCGCCGAGGGTAGAGAACTGCCCACATCTGCCTCCTGTTCTGTGACCCCACGTACTCTTCAGGCCACATCAAGGGCTTGAAATCACCCAGCCGATAGGAAGGCCGACCCTGCACCCCAACCAGGTGGCGTTAAGAGGACATCTGCAAGACCCTTTTCAGAGGTGTCTCCACTTTTATCTCACTCCAGCCACGAAGGACAGTTCCTGCCTTCCGGACAACCTTCTAGTCTTGTAGCTCTGCATGCGACTCCCCAGGCTCCCTTCGTCTGCCGTTTCTCTTTCTTCTCACTCTTTGGCTAGCTCCTCTCCTGACCTCTAAATGTTGGCATCCCCTGGAACTGGACACTGGGCCCATTGTGTTCCTTTGTCTGCTAATTAAATGACAACATTACTGTCCTCATTAGTGTGTGTGTGATGGCGTAGGACGGATGTGCCATGACATGCATGCGGCGGTCAGAGGATTGCAGGTCCACAGGTCATTGCAACAGCTCCCTACACAATGCTATTCTCATGTCTTCCGCGCGCTGTCGTCCGCAGAGCTGTCTGTTGCTATGCTATTCCAAATCAAATCAGGTCACTCCCTGGTGAGTGTGCCAACATCGTCCCATTACACTTTTAATTGCTCCAGACTCTTTACCCAGGTCTGTGAGACCCAGCAAACCCATGCCCATCTTTCCAGCTTCCTGTGTTCTCTTCTTCTCAGCTTCTTATCAGTGTTTGCACAGGATTTCTTGTCTTGGGGCCTTTGCGCAAGCTTCTCTCCAAGACTTTTATTCTCTTTGCTTCCTCTAGGATCCTTTTTTTTTTTTTTAACTTTAGACACGAGCTCCCCAGACTGCCTTCCCCAGTGTGGTCCCAACTTCTGCTGTGTTCCATCTCCGATGTTCTGCTTTATAGCGTTAATCATAGGACATAATTATTTTGTCTGTTAGTGTCAGTTTGGCAGCTGTGCAAGCTCCCTGGATGTAAGAACTGGTGATCTGTTCTGCTTGCTGCTGCCTCTGCAGTGCAGGCAGCCACGCAGTCCACAGCAGTTGCCGCCTCTGCAGCGCAGGCAGCCACGCAGTCCACAGCAGTTGCCGCCTCTGCAGCGCAGGCAGCCACGCAGTCCACAGCAGTTGCCGCCTCTGCAGAGCAGGCAGCCACGCAGTCCACAGCAGTTGCCGTCTCTGCAGCGCAGGCAGCCACGCAGTCCGCAGCAGTTGCTCAGCAAGTGTTTCTCCAAGGAGTACGTGAATATGCGCACAGCTCAGACAGCCTGGGGAGCTTGACTATTTTGACTTGAACTGTTTTCATTGCTAAAGATCTTGTAATCAGATGCCAAGGATGTCAAGCAAGCAAACCAGAATTTTGGGAGGCTGGCTGTAAGATCACACCCCACCTTGGGTCACTCTGCTTCCAGGGAGGGATGGGGCAGGGCAGACTTGATGTCATTTATTCCCCAAGTGCCTCTTATAGTTATCAGAAGGTAACATCATCACAAAGCAAAGGACATGAGAAGTTCTCTTTCTCTCTCTCTCCAACACACACACACACACACACACACACACACACACACACACACACAACCTTTCTATGGTGATTCATTATTGGAGCCAACACCCAATTCTATTGCATGCTGACAACACCGGAGAATCTGGGTACAGGAGGCGGGTATATAAGAACTCCCAATCTTTTTACCACTCCTTTGAAAATCTGAAAATGAACTAAAACCAAACTGAAATCTGGGGTTGGGAAGATGGCTCAACTGGCAAAGTGATTGCCCCACTAATATGAGGACCCGTGCTTATATCCCCAACAGCAATGAGAGGAGCCAGGCATGGTGGCACATGCCTGTAACGGCCGTGCTGGGGAGGCAGACAGGAGAACCCTGGCACTCCGTGGTCAGCTAGTCCTGCTGACCTGATGAGCTCCAGCCTCAGTGAGAGAACATGTCTTAAAAACATAGGACGTGGAATGAGAGAACATCTCTGACTAGACTCTGCTCTCCACACACAGACACAATTTAAATGAAAATCTTAAGTCTATTTTGAAAGAAAAAAAAAAAGAACCCAATGCTGCCTATGCTTCCACTTGACTTGTAAAAGCCCGGAGGTTGCTATGCTAAGGGTGTGCAATTGAGGAGAGGCACCCCTCACTCGGATGGGCTCATGAAGTCCAGGCTGCCTAGAATTTACTGTGTGGACACGGGTAACCTTGAACTCTGGTCCTCCTACCCCTCAAGTGTCAGGACTGCAGGTTTGTGTCACCACGCTCCTCTGGTTTCCCACTTGATTCTAAGACAATCTCTGAGGGGACCTGGAGGACCGTCCTTATTTGGGTGACAAGTTGAGGATCTCTGGTGAAACATCCCTGGCCACACAGCAAGTAAGAGACAAGCCAAGCACTAGACTCATTGCTTTTCCTTCTGGTTTCCGCCCAAGAATGTTGGCCTAGCCAGATATTTTTTCATCTGACTTTCTGGAGTAAGAAAAACGACTCCTTCAACTATCGTGCCCTTGTGCGGCGCTTGTTCTTACCTTCGGCCGGAGGCTTTCTTTACTTCTCGTGGACACATTGAAAGCTTCTTCCCTGCAGCCCCCATTCCAACAGGTCAGAAGGGTGAGAGTTTTGGTTTTTTTTTAATTGATTTTATTGAGCTCTATGTTTTTCTTTGTTCCCCTCCCTTCCTCTCCCCTCCCCTTCTACCCTCTCCCAATGTCCCCATGCTCCAAATTTACTCAGGAGATCTTATCTTTCTCTACTTCCCATGTACATTAGATCCATGCATGTCTCTCATAGGGTTCTCTTTGTTGTCTAGGTCCTCTGGGATTGTGAATCATCGGTTGGTTTTTCTTTGCTTTATGTCTAAAAGCCACTTATGAGTGAGTACATTTGATATTTGTCTTTCTGGGTCTGGGATATCTCACTCAATATGATGTTTTCTAGATCCATCCATTTGCCTGCAAATTTCAAGATGTCATTATTTTTTTCTGCTGTCTAGTACTCCATTGTGTAAAAGTACCATATTTTTCTTATCCATTCTTTGGTCAAGGGGCATTTAGGTTGTTTCTAGGTTCTGGATATGACAAACAATGCTGCTATGAACATAGTTGAGCATATATCCTTGTGGTACTATTGAGCATCCTTTAGATATATACCCAAAAGTGAAATTACTGGGTCCTGAGGAAGGTTATTTCCTAATTTTCTGAGAAATTGCCACACTGTATGAGCTTGCGCTCCCACCAGCAATGCAGAAGTGTTCCCTTTACACCACAACCTCTCCAGCATAAGTTGTCATCAGTGTTTTTGATCTTGGCCATTCTGACAGGTGTAAGATGGAATCTCAGAGTTGTTTTGATTTGCATTTCTCTGATGGCTAAGGATGTTGAACTTTTCCTTTAGTGTCTTTCAGCCATTTTTGATTCCTCTGTTGAGAATTCTCTGTTTAGGTCTATACTTCATTTTTTAATTGGATTATTTGTTCGATGACCAATTTCTTGAGTTCTTTGTATATTTTGGAGATCAGACCTCTGTCTGATGTGGGGTTAGTGAAGATCTTTTCCCATTCTGTAGGCTGCTGCTTTGTCTTGTTGACCATGTCCTTTGTTTTATAGAAGCTTCTCAGTTTCAGAAAGTCCCATTTATTAATTGTTTCTCTCAGTGTCTGTGCTACTGGGGTTATATTTAGGAAGTGGTCTCCTGTGACAATGTGTTCAAGTGTACTTCCCACTTTCTCTTCTATGAGGTTCAGTGTGGCTGGCTTTATGTTGAGGGCTTTGGGCCATTTGAACTTGAGTTTTGTGTGTGGTGATAGATATGGTCTATTTTCATTCTTTTATATGTTGACATCCAGTTATGCCAGTACCATTTGTTAAATATGCTTTCTTTTTTTCATTTTATTTGCTTCTTTGTCAAAAACTGTGGTGTGTGGATTAATATCCGGGTCTTCAATTTGGTTCCATTGGTCCTCTTGTCTGTTTTTATTCCAATACCAGGCTCTTTTCAGTACTGTAGCTCTGTAGTAGAGTTTGAAGTCAGAGATTGTGATGCCTCTAGAAGTTCCTTTATTGTACAGGATTGTTTTGGCTATCCTGAGGTTTTTGCTTTTCCATATGAAGTTGAGTACTGTTCTTTTGAAGTCTGTGAAGAGTTTTGCTGGGATTGCTGGGAGTGTTTAATGTGGAACTGTCTATTTACTTCCCTGTTTAAGGTGGAACTGTCTATTTACTCCCCTCTAAACACTACCTACTGCCTACTGAAATAAATTCAGACTATGTGCTCGTCTTTTCACCTTTGACCCCATACCAGTGTCACATTCTCTTCTTCCCAGTTCCCAGCAGCTTCTCTTATCTCTGTTTTAAGTTCATCAGTCTTTGATTGATGTCCTAACAAATGCACAAAATTTGTCAGCAAGGAAGGCCATTTATAAAATTACCAAAACTCAACCTAGAAACTCCGAAGTTCATGTGTGATTACAGAGCAGATATCCAAGCACCACTATCACCTGCCTAGGGTGAACTGGGTGTCAGAGAGTTGGGAAGGAAGCGCCAAGAGTATTTCCAACTAGGGGACAGGCCATGAGATGGTCCTCAAAGGGGCCATTTCCCCTCTTGGATGAGTTGACCCTGACAAGGAGAAGGACATTTATAATTTATTGGTTCCTTGAAAACACTCATTCCCGCTCTGCCTGCCCCAGACTCAACCTCCCACGCCCCACTAGCCTAGCCCATCACTGTCCCATACCACACACCTTAAGAGGTATGGACAAAGGAGTGGGAACTGGGCCACTTAACAACATTCTAGGCAACAGTCATTCGTTTTTTTTTTGACAGTTTGAATGAAATTAATTAAAGCATGAGCATGTCACTTTTATTTCCCCACACTTGACAACCATTTGGAGATTGGCTCGGAGGGCATCTTCCTGTAAGCAGTTAGATGGTGGGGGTAAATTGGGGGCACTGTTGTTGGCTGTACAGATGGGGAGCTGTCAGATCTGCCAAAGCAAAGCACAAAAGTTCAGACTTAGTTGGGGCAGTTGTCAAGAGAGATGGGAAAGCTAAAATTGGAGCCCCAGGTTTCTATCTTGGGGCGAGCATCAACAGCAATGGTCTGGGAAATGTGGAAGTCAGCAGCAGCTGAGGTCGAGGTAAAGAGTGAAGTCTCTGAAGGCTTTAGGACTAATCTGGTGGAGAGGTGCGTGTGGGCCTTGGATTTACCCCTGAGATTCTGCTGATGTACACACCCAGAGAAGCTGTCCAGGCCTGGCCCGTCACCTTTCAATGCAGCGAATGGTTGGAGCATTTCCTGACTGTCTCATCTCCTTCCAGAAGGAGTTCTCTGTAGCTACTCACCACCGTATGGACCTTGGCCACTGCTTTGAACCAGAAGGTAGAGGAGTGAGCAGAGAGGGCTGGGCCTGAGACCAGTCACCCGCTGCGGGGTCCCTTTCACTATCTCTCTCTTTTACAGAACTCTGGAAAGCTCCAGGACCCTCTCTGAAACATACTTTCGCTCAACATCACCTGATTATTAAAGGCTGTTCCTTGAAGCTCTTACAGAAGCCGGATTGCACCTTGGAGTGTGGTGCTATGGTAGAATGCTGGTCTGGGCAGTGCGCTAGGCTTGGGTTAATCTTCAGCATCACACGCGCACACAGTGGTGGGCTAGGCGTAGAACGGGGCTAGCTCGTACTCGGGGAAAGGGGCTGCCAACAGAAGGGACTGAAGAAAAGATAGAAAAAAAAACACATTAAAAAATTTTTATGTGTTAAAGAGTTGGGAGTACAGGGATGGGAGGGGAGTATCTGTCCTGAGGGCAACAGGGTGGGGCGATCCTCCGCCAGTCCGAACTCCAGGGTCGCGGTGCGGCCGCGCCCACCCCGCCCGCGTAAGCGCGTTTCCGGAAACTGCTCGCCTGGGAACCCGGTTTCCCCGCGCAGGTTCCGGAAGAGCTCGGCTCCCCGAGCCGGGCGTGCATTACAGCCGCGGGCTGCCGTGGCCGCTGGGGCCAAGTGCTTTGTTCCTGGCTCCTTGTTGCCCCTGCGCGCGCAGAGAGGCCGAAGTCCTGGTGTTGCGCGCGCCGGGTGCCGCGAGGGCTGAGCACCCGGTGCGATCGCTGCAGCCTCAGCTCGGGAGCTCGTGCGCCCTGCGCAGCTTGGGGCGGTCCCACACAGCGGCGGCTCCCGTGCGGTCCCTACGAGGTGGTCGCCCCGAGACTGCCTAGGCGGTGCGATGTTGGGCCCGCCCGGGAGCCCGGGAAGGGAAAGCGAAAGCCGCGAGCCAGGCCGGTGACCGCGAGGACTCGGCGCCTCTCCACGGCTGCCCGCAGCACCCGCGCCTGCCCTCGGCTGTCAGTCCCGCGGCATCTAGCTCGCCGAAACCATGGCCATCGCTCACCTGGCCACCGAGTACGTGTTCTCGGACTTCTTGCTGAAGGAGCCCACCGAGCCCAAATTCAAGGGCCTGCGGCTGGAGCTAGCGGTGGATAAGATGGTCACATGCATCGCCGTGGGTCTGCCTCTGCTGCTCATCTCGCTGGCTTTCGCTCAGGAGATCTCCATCGGTGAGGCCGGGGGCGCGGGGGCAGCCTGGGCTAGGCTGGCATTGTCTGGGGTTGGTAGGGCCCGCTAAGGGAAAATCTCATTGCACACAGCCGGCATTTCCGCACGCCCCTCACACCCTACTGTAGCCACCCTGCTCATACCGGGTTTGAGACTGAAGGCTTATTTTGCCTATGTGCAATCTGGGTACCTCTGTTGACCCTGCTAGCATCCTCCCTGCAGTTCCTTTGTCTCCCGCCCCATGGTTGTGGCTTGGAGTTCACATCCAGCCTGTTGCCACTAGACGTGCCAAGAGTGTCTTTTTCCTACTCCTCTCCCCAGAAATTGGGCAGTCACCTAAAATTTCACACCAAAGAAGTTCCCGAGTGGCTCCAGGAAGGATGTAAAGACAAGCGGTCCGTGTACAGTGTTTCACTGTGCTTTTCAGTGATCCTTGGGTCTTAGGGTGGTGTGTGATGGGGAGTAATGCCGTTGGAGGTGGAAGAGGTCCTTCACCTAGGCCTTGTTGTGAATGAAAGATGAAGAAATGACTTAATCTTCTTCATATAAACCATCATTTCATCCTAATAGTTATGCAAAATCCAAAGTCTAGTGTTTTGGGCGGGATCCTTAGTCAGAGTGAGTGGTCTTACTTACCAGTTACCCTGACATTCAGTGTGTGAATTGCAGGTAAGTCGTGTGTGTGTGTGTGTGTGTGTGTGTGTGTGTGTGTGTGTGTGTGTGCAGGGGGTGGGGTGGGGGAGGGCACTTGCAGGTGGGGCAGGACGTTGTAGAGTGTCTGTGCCAGGGTGGGTGGAGTGTGGAGTGACCGAAATGAGATGCTTGTCAGGGGGCTGTGCCAGCCAAGAGCTGGGGGGGGGGGGGGGTCGTTGTGGGGGGGGGGGGGGGGGAGACTCTAGAAGCCTAGGGTAATGTGGACCTGGGTCAGGTTACTACAGAGAGGCACCTGCTGACTCACCTGGGATTGGGAGGCTATTGATTGACAGACCGGTCGACAACAGCACTCAGTAACTGATAGTGAGAATACATTGGTTCTGGATGTAGGAAGGGAGTGTGGATCTAGACATGTGACTGTGCTGAGCTATGGCATCAGCTGAGGTCTTGTGCATGGATGGGGACTGAGTGGAGGAAGGAAAGGGGGGCCCTTCTGAGAGATGAGGGAGCAACAGGAAACAGCTGGGTACCTAGATTTTAACGGGCTGTGGAGAGAAGAGAGCGAGGCTGTCTGTACACCTGAGTGAGCTGAGATGCCCGTGGAAGCTGGAGTCGAGGCAGGGCTTGGGCGGGAAAGGGTATGGCTTGTGCAGCTCCGTGACACTGTGGCGGAAAGTCGCTGAAGCAAGGGTGCAGAGTGAGCTGTGGGTTTTCCTGGTTCTCAGGCAGGGATGATCCCGCTGAAAGGGAAACCACAGAGTCGCTTGGTGGCTGGTGATAGTCTCTGCAGCTTCCAGCTGTGGACTGAACCAAGTGCCAGGCATCAGAACCCCGGGGAATAAATGTCCCTGTGATAAAGATGCAGGTCCTGGACACCTGGTGTGGGCAGAGGCCAACAGGGAGGAGCTGGTCACTCTCTGTGAAGTCTCCCTTCTTGAAGGACTCTTGAGGCACCTGGAGCTAGGGTCTGTTATGCAGGTCCAGATGGATGTACTGTCTGAGAGGCATCTTCAGGGACATGGGGGTGGGTCCAGCCAGCACGACTCTGCTTGGGCTGTGTATGAGCTCCACTGTGCACTGTGGGGGATAGGAAAGGGTTCCAAGGCATGACCCTTTCTACCAGCAGGAGTTTACCATCCCACTGGACACTAATCTGCTACCAGGTGACATTCCTCCAGTGGTGTGATTTCAGGATAAGGCAGGGGGAACTCCTGAGCACCAGGCTGGCTGGCTCTTAGACAGGCACATGGCCATGTCTTCTGAGGGGCTCAAGCCTTTCAAGGGGAAGTCAGGTGTGTAGATGAACCCAACAGAAAGTCCTAGGAGATCAGTATTCACAATCAAGGATTAATTTTGTGCAGTTTAACTGTGTGCCATCAAATGAAAAAAAAAAAACCAAGAAAAGGTTGAGAATGAATATTGTAGTAATTGTAATAACCCCAGTGTGCTGGCTGGTTTTATGAAAACTTGACACAAGCTAGAGTCAGGGAAGAGGGAACCTCAATTGAGAAAACGCCCCCACCAGATTGATAATTGAATGGGAGGGCCCAGGTCACTGGACAGAGCGCTACCACTGGGTGTGTGGTCCTGGTATATATAAAAAAGGAGGCTGAGAAAGCCACGGGGAGCAATCCAGGAAGCAGCACTTCCCCGTGGCCTCCAGGTTCCTGCCGTGATTTCCTGCCCTGACTTCCCTCGGTGATGGAGGCTGACATCAGAACTGTCAACTGAAATAACCCTGTATCCCCAAGTTGCTGTTGGTTACGGTGTTTATCACAGCAATAGAAACCTTAACCACAACAACCAAGGATGGTGGAGCCATTTAAATGAAGCAGGCAGTTTGCCCACCGTACTGTTGGGGAGGACAGCCCTGGGAGTGGGGCAGGACTTGGCAGCTCCAAGCACGGCTGAGTGGCCCTTTCCTGGCCCTTACCCCTCCTTCTCTCTTGTCTGGAATACTTCTGTCCCATACTTAGTCTTTTATTGATCTATCCTGAAGGCTGTAGAGTGTGTCATGATTGAGGTAGCTTTGGTGGCTTTTGCAGACACCTGGGGCTGGGACTGTTCACTGGTCCTAACTGACCCTACAGTGGGGACAGTACAGACACACCCTCTGGAAGGAGCTGCTCGGAAATGCTCTTAACTTCCAAGTCCTCGCCCACATTTTGAAGATTTTAGTTTCCCGGAATGTAAGAACTCAGAGCTCAGTTGGGCAGCTACTGTGGTTGCTTCTAATACTTCACTCCCTGGAAGACAGTGGAATGGAATTGTGAACTGGGGGTGGAGAAGGGAGAGTTGGTGCCAAGTGCCCTACGGGCGCTCATCCTGCTCCTTTCTCACCTCGCTTCAGTCTTCTGCACAGTGTGTGCTGGATTCTCAGAGAAGGCCTTGAGGTTGCCGGCTGCCCTGCCTGTCTGCTCTGATTTTCAGCCGAGATGACAGCAAGTAGCTGTCACAGCTGTGGAGTTGCCTGCTGCCAGGCCTCCCCTACCGGGAGGGGTCTGTGAGGCAAGATAATCCTGTCCCTTAGCTGTCCCATCAGCTGCAAAGAGCTGCTGTGTGTGAGCGTGGAGTGATCCTTAGCTTCTCAATAACAGCGCATCCTCCGCTCGTGCATCCTCGGGTTCGTGCATCCTGGGCTCTCACATCCTGGGCTCTCACATCCTGGGCTCTCACA